TAAGATACTTCCACAACAAAGAACAACTGAAGAGATTTATGAACACCAAGCCAATGCTACAGAGAGTTTTAAAAGATATTCTAGACAGAGAATATTGGACCACAATTCCAAGAACAACAACAGAAAGAAACCACCAGGCAGGGCAAGCAATTAAACAGAGGGGAAAAGCAGGGAACAAACAACAGTAAAATGCCATGACCAAGAAGCCAATACATATCAGTTATAACCATCAATGTAAATGGCTTCAATTCACCAATCAAAAGAAACAGACCGGCAGAGTGGATCAAGATACAAGACCCAACAATATGCTGTATACAAAAGACACATTTAACACAAAAAGAAATTCATAGACTGAAAATAAAAGAGTGGAAAACAATCTTCCATGTGACTGGAACCCACAAAAAAAGCAAGAGTAGGTTTTTTTTGCAGACAATGTCAACTTCAAACCAAGAATGCTCAAGAGGGATAAAGAGGGTCACTACATACTTGTTAGGGGGAAACTTCAAGAGGAAGAGATAACAACCATAAATATTTATGCACCAAATACAGGAGCACAGAATCATATAAGACAAATATTAATAGACATGAAAAGTCAAATAAACAATAATACAATTGCAGTTGGAGACATCAATACAAAGAGATCGATCAACTAGATAAAAAATCAGGAAAGAAATAACAGAACTGAACCAAACCTGTGAACAAATGGACTCAGTGGATGTTTTTAGACTGTTCCACACAACATCATTACAATACACATTCTTCTCAGCTGCACACGGAATGTTCTCTAAAGTAGAACATATACTAGCCCAGAGAACATGCTTAAGTAAATGCAAAGAAATTGAAATTATCCCATGCATAATATCTAACCACAGTGCAATGAAGTTAGAAGTTTATGGTAAAAGAAACCACAAAAACTCCACAAACACATGGAAATTAAACAATACCGTCCTAAACAACCAATGGGTCACAGATGAAATAAAGGAAGAAATTAAACAATATCTACAACTAAATGAGAATGCAGACACAACATACCAGAACCTATGTGATGCTATGAAACCAGTCATAAGAGATAAATTTATAGCGGTGAATTCTCACATCAGGAAATCAGAAGAAGCACAAATAAACAATCTAATGTTACACATCAATCTTCAAAAAAAAAAAAAAACAAAAAAAAACAAAAAACAGCAAGACAAGCCCAAAACCTAAGGAAGGGAGGAAATTATAAAGATCAGAGCAGATATTTAACACAGTGGAAACTAAGAAAATAGTAGAAAGAATAAATGAATCAAAGAGTTGGTTCTTTGAAAAAATATAAATAAAATTGATAAACCCTTAGCCAACCTTATCAAAAAGGGAAAGAAAAGACTCAAATTCATGCACTGAGGAATGATAAGGGTGAAGTCACTACAGGTCCTGTGAAAATTCAGAAGTTCATCAACAAATACTTTGAAAATCTTCACATTCATAGGATGGAAAACACAGACGATATGGACAGATTCTTAGATACATATGAATTACCAAAGCTGAATCAAGAAGACATAAAAATTCTCAATAAGCAGGAGATATCAGTTAATGAGACTGAAAATGTAATTAAAAACTTACCAACAAAGGAAAGGCCAGGTCCTGATGAATTCACTGCTGAATTCTACAAGAAATTTAGAGAAGATATACCACCAATATTCTTCAAACTCTTTAATGAAATTGAAAGGGAAGCAGTACTCCTTAACTTTTTCTAACAGGCAAGTATTGCCCTGACACCAAAACCAGAGAAAGATGCAACCAAAAAAGAGAACTATAAGCCAATCTTCCTAATGAACATAGATGCAAAATCCTCAATAAGATGCTAGCAAACAGAATTCAACAAATAATCAAGAAGACTGATTACACACCCAGGTGGGATTTATCCCGGGAATGCAGGGATGGTTCAACATATGCGAATCAATAAATATAATATACCACATTAACAGAGCGAGAGACAAAAATCACATGAGCATCTCAACAGATGCAGAAAAGACTTTTCATAAAGTCTAGCACTCATTGATGATAAAATCCCTACAGAAAATTGGAATAGATGGTCTTTATCTCAGCCTGATAAAAAGCCATCAATGACAATCCAACAGCCAACATCATACTAAATGGACAAAAACTGAAAGTTTTCACTCTAAAATCAGCAACATGACAAGGATGTGCAGTATCATCACTCCTTCTCAACATAGTTCTGGAAACACTGGCCAGAGCAATTAGACAAGAGAAAGAAATAAAAGGAATAAGGATAGGAAAGGAAGAAGTGAAATTATCATTATTCACAGATGACCTGATACTCTACATAGAAGACCTCAGATACTCCACCAAAAGACTCCTAGAGTTAATAATCAAATTCAGTTGCATGGCTGGATACAAAGTCAATACTCAAAAATCAATGGCCTTCCTGTACACAAACAACAAACTTATTGAGAGAGAGATTAGGGAAACCACACCATTCAGAATAGCATCCAAAAAATGAAATACTTAGGAATCAATCTAACAAAAGAAAGAAAAGATTTATATAATGAAAATTACACTACTCTGAAAAAGGAAATTGAAGAGGATATCAGAAAATGGAAAGATGTACCTTGCTCATGGATAGGAAGAAACAGCATAGTGAAAATGGCCAAAATTGTTATACAGATTTCTTCCAAAATTGTTATACAGATTTAATGCAACACCAATCAAAGTATCATTAGCATACCTCACAGAACTAGAGAAAACCCTTCTAAAATACATCTGGAATCAGAAGAGACCTAGAATAGCAAAGGCAACCCTGGGCAACAAAGACAAGTCAGGAGGCATCACAATCCCCGGCTTGAAATTATATACAAAGCTACTGTGAAAAAATCAGCATGGTGCTAACAAAAAAATAAACCTGAGGGCCAGTGGAACAGATTACAAGATGCAGACACAGCACAAACACGCTCAGCCACCTTATCTTTGACAAAGGGGCCAAACACATTCACTGAAAAAAAGCGAGTCTCTTTAATAAATGGTGTTGGAAAAACTGGCTTTCCACATGCTGAAGACTAAATTAGACCCATGTCTATCACCATGCACTAAACTAAAATCAAAATGGATCCAAGATCTAAATATTAAAGCAAAAACACTAAATTTACTGGGAGAGAGAGTAGGTTGAAATCTTGAAGACGTAAGGGTAGGCAGAACATTCATGAACAACACCCAAACTTCACAGGAAACACTTCAAAGAATCAACAACTGGGATCTTATCCTATTAAAAAGCTTTTGTATTTTGAAGGAAATCACCAATAAAGTGAAAAGACAACCCACAGAGTGAGAAAACGTTTTTGTTTTCAGACAAAGGACTTAATCTGGAACATATAAAGATTTGAAAAAAGTCAGACTCCCCCAAATTCAAAAACCCAGTCCAAAAATGGGCATCTGAGATGAATATGCACTTCTCAGATGAAGAAATACAAATGACAAATAAATACATGAAAAAGTGTTCCACATCATTACTCATTCAAGAGATGAAAATTAAAACAACCCTGAGATGCCATCTCACCCTGGAAAGAATGGCTGTCATCAAGAAATCAACCAACAACAAATGCTGGAGGGGCTGTTGTGAAAAAGGAACACTTCTCCTCTGCTGATGGCACTGTAGACTGGTGCAGCCACTTTGGAAATCAGTCTGGAGATTCCTAAAAAAATTAGGATTAGAGGTCCCATTTAACCCAGCTATTTTCTTTCTGGCTATTTTCCCAGAAGAATTAAAAACATCATACCACAGCGATACATGTGCACCCATGTTTACAGCAGCACAATTTGTCATACCAAAATCTTGGAAACAACGCAAATGCCTATCAACTGAGGAGTGGATAAAAGAGATGTAGTATTTTTATGCAATGGAATATTACTCATCTATAAAGAAAGATAAACTCAAGGCTTTTATAGGTAAATGGATGCAACTAGAGACCATACTCATGCAATTAGAGACCATACTCATAAGTGAAATAAATCAGACCCGCATGTGTAAACACCACATTGTCTCCCTAGTGTAGGAACCTGAAAGCGTAAATAAAATCTGAAAGGTACAATAGATATTGTGAAAGGGAAAGAAAGTACTCAATAAGAAAGAACAACTGGGATGCAGGAAAGGAGAAAAGAAAGAAGAAAAGGAAAAAATTATGTACATATAGATAAGATAGCTAAGATAATTGTACTTCTAATTTCTATTGGTTTATTGAAAGGAACAGATGATGTTTAATTGTTTGATCAATCTTGCATCTGGTAATCGGAACAACTACTTTGAAGACAACAATAAGTAATAGAAAAACCACTGTTGATTTCCTAACATCTTGTTTCAAAATTCTGTATCATTTTTATAGTTTTAGTGTTGTTTTGTTTTTGTTCTTTTCTCTTTACAACAAATGTCTTTAAAAATAACAGTTCTATTTTAGTTTTTTATTTATTTTTAGTTTTTTTGGTCTTTTTGGAGGCAGGGTCTCACTCTGCAGTTCAGGCTGTTCTTGAACTCATTTTGTAGCCCAGTCTGGCCTTGAACTCACAATGATCCTCCTGCCTCAGTCTCCCTCATGCTGGAATTGCAGGCATGCACCACCACACCTGGCTCTAACAGTGCTATTTTAAAATAGAGACTTCAAATTCCATTTCATATAATTCTGGACATTTCACTGCTTCTAGAGTATAGGCCAGGCCCCAAATTATCTTTTAGTTTATACTTGTAGATTCAACTTATAAAATCAAAGAAAAAAGGAACACAAGTGAAACTTAGTAAGTTTTGAATTTATTAGCCCACAGGGAAAAGAATTCTAATTTTAAAGCCATAAAAATGGAAAATTCTTGATCCTTAGGGCCAGTGTCAATTTGACCAACCTTTAGAAATAAATTAATATAGATGAAATTTTAAGGGCTGCATAACACACAGCTTCAACTAACTCTGATTATTTTGGGTGTCTTACAGACCATAATAAATTGACTTGTTTTCTTGGTTATAGTTCATTGAAAAGGTAATTACAAAGTTTCACTTATTCTCGCTATAGTCAAATAGTACTAACACATCCATTTTTGTTCTCAAATACAAAACTATCATTAGCTACCAACTAAAAAACAAAATCAGCATAATTGACTTGAAAGGTATTTCACCATTAGACTAAGTTGTAAAAACTGTTTCAAGGAAATCTGAAATTTATCTTTATTTATAGAAATATGCCAACACACAGTAAAATTGAGCAATAATGTATCAGTTACTTCCACATAATACAAGGCATTTTTTTCATTAAAGAACCAAATATTAAATACAATCACAAAACATCTCAATGTCTGTTCAAAATTGGAGTCATATAATCAGCCCAGAAAAAACACACTGAAATTCTCCTATATAGCACAATAAGGTGGAGGACACAGAGCATCTGAGAAACACTTTCAAAAATGGAATACTAAATACATAGTGTCTACACTTAGTTAAGTTTGTTGTACTAATGAGCTTATGCATCATGTAGTATATATAAGTCAGAAATCTTATGTTATAAAAACAACTACCTTTGTGGGTGGAAAGGTAGCAATTCTGATATCATCAGATTTATTCTTAAGTTTCTTTTTCTGTATTTGTTAATTTGATCCTGGAAAACAAAAATATTTAGTTAAAAAAATATTTAACTTAGTTTTATGTAGAACGTAAATCAACATAAAAATATATTTTTCTGAATGTAAAAAGAGGCTAGCAATGTAGCTTAGTGGTAGGACATTTGCCTCATGTTTGTGAGGCCTTGGGTTCCACCCCTAGCACAACCTAAAAATAACAACAGCAACAAAAGCCCCCCAAAAACTCAAGCCAAAACAGCAACACAGAAACAATGGCACTTAATTTTTAGCTACAGTAAAATAATTTTTGATAGTAACATACTAAAGATCACAAATATAGTTTCATTCATAATAATTCAGTGTTCTTAAAAACTGCACTTGAGCGTTATGCTTTAAAGGCCTATGTATAGAACAGAAGCACACTTAGTGATTCAGCGCATTCAGGTTGTATTGGACATTAGCTTTCGGCTGAATAGTCTTCAAATTTCCATTCAAATTGGTTAAGGTCAAATTCTAACCAAGGATCATTATGTAATGTTTACTGTCCTCTGTGATGCAGGGTTCCAAGTGCAATCACTGAATGGACACATGGAGGGGCAGGGCTAGGATACAGTGGCTACTTCTGGACTCCCAGGAACCTCCATCAATGGCTTGCCCTGGGTTTATTCTAATGACAGCTTTTGCCTCCTGTTTGATAATGCTCAATGCCCCAAGTTATGAAAGTTAATAGGAGCCTAAGCTCTGATATTTGCAGTGAAGGATTAGGCTCAGTTTTGTCCTAGATGATATCTAACTGTTTTAGGGAGAGTCAAGTGTGAGGCCATAATTTAAAGGTCTAAGTGCCTAATAAGTTACAAAATTATACGTCTTAGAGTATAAAAGCATAAAACTTTAATCTAATTGGATTACTTTGCATATACAGTGACAGGTGAAAGTTGTATTTTTAATCATCAATGGCTGTCCATTTTAGGAAACATAGTAAGCATAGAGAGTTCTGCAGTTGTAAAGACTACTTGGTATTTTGTTTCTGTAAAAAAAAACACCCTTCCATGTATCATGGTGTAATCCTTTCTTGAAGGTGATGCTAATTCTGTTTGTAGATTTGACCAGAGTATAAATGAATCAATAATTTCACTAATTTCCTCTGCACTTTTGTTCCAGGTGAACTCTCAAAGCAAAAAGCAAAGTGTTTTACACTTTAAAAATATATGTTCCCAAGTTACTTCCCCCAAACATGTCATATGTATTTCAAAATGTTTCTTTCTCATTATCAATTAATATTTGATTACCAAACAGACCTGTTTCTCCTTACTGGTGGATTTTTTTTTATCAGTTGCATTTCTGATACATAAATACATTAGTATTGTGTTCTTGCAAGATTTTCCCACAGATAACCCTATAAAATAAAATAAGCAGGTACAACACATCCACGCTTGACTGTGAGTCCTCATTTGGTATAAGTCAGGTCTTCTCTTTGGTCAAGAAAAGGGAAACTTTTCTTCACAGCACACATCCTCCTCTTTGCCTACAGTCTTGTTCTCCTGAATTAGGCAGGACTCTTCCAATTCGGAATGTAGATTGGAGTTACATGAATGCCATTTCTGGATATACAGTATGAGGAAGCTTTAGTAGTAGATATACTAAACTTCTCCACCTAACCCCGTGCCCCAAGAACAAGACTACCTACTTGACTGCTGTAAAAACAGCACCCTGATCTTCTCACGTCTTCCCAGCCTGTTTCCTACTCTCTCATCTCGTGCATCTAAAAGAAAAGACAGCTGTGGAGCTTGATGTGCATTTTATTTGAGAGCAGCTTCCAGAAATAAGAACAAACGGAATTGATTTCAGTGGGGACACCTGCCAGTTTTTTTGAAACAGTATCCCTATAAGCACAAAAGAAAGTATTACCTTGAAAATGGATTTAGACAAAAATGGGCTTATCTTTTTTCCAATCCAGAAGTCTTCAGGCAGTGCACAGCTCTGCTACTCTATTTTTCCGCCCCCCCCCTCCGGTACTAGGAACCGAACTCATGACCATGCGCTTGCCAGGCAAGCACTTTTGCCGCTGAGCTAAATCCCCAGCCCCCAGCTCTGCTACTCTAGCTCAAATAAAGAAGGGATTCATTTACTTGGTGACTTACACTGAACAGTACCCTATAAGCATTTTCTTTGTAATTTTTATTTAACATGACTTGTTTGTTTTGCATGCTAGAAATTGAACGCAGGCCCTCAAGGATTCCAGGCAAGTGCTCATCACTGAGCTATATCTCCAGTCCTATTTATTATTTTTAGAAAGATGAATTCTAAGACCTAAGGGACTACTTTCTACAGAACACTTGGAAATACTTTTTTAAGGTTATCAACCTAGAGAGTCTAAGAGCCGAGAAGCTGGAAAGGAAGAGAATGAAGAGAGTGAAGCTGAGGGTTCCGGGTTATAGCAGTGCCGTTCAGTCCACAGCTTCTTGTCTACAAAGTTTTTACAAAGCCCTGTACTACTACTGAAAGTAACTCTTCCTTCCTCTAAGATACTCCAAATATTTATCCTCAAATTGTAGCATGATTTCTAAGGAGCCAGACGACATAGCTAGACAAAAACCAACAAGTTCCATTAACAACAAGAAAATGCATCAACTGCTAGGAGTGTTGTAATTTATTTCTGTTCAGAGATGAAAGCAACTGATGTTCTCGGTTGGCTCTGGTTTACCTGCATTCAAAGAAAAGCAAATTCCGTCTATTAGACAACTTTAGTTGGGCAAGACCGACCAAGCCGAGTGGCTACTGGCAATGCTCTCCAATGACTCAGCAGATCTCTATTTAAATGTCAGGATTTTATATAACAGACATGAAAGCAACCACTTTTGGTTAATGAAAAACAAGTGAGAAAAAAATATCTGTACAATTCTGGAGATCCCAAGAATACAATAAATGCCACTGTTAGCATACATATACAGCGTTTTACAGTTCATGAATCCCTTTCCACACATTTCATTTCATTTGGTCCTCATAACAACCCTGTGAGGTGAGCGTTACTAACTCTGTTATACAGCCAAGGAAACAGAGGCTTTATGTGTTTTTATGCGTAGCTTGTCCAAGGTGATGCACTTAGTAAGGATAGAACTCAGAGTAGGTGCAGAACGACTCTCTGTCCACCTACTTTCCTGCCCTTGACCTCTACCCCGGTCTTCTCTATTCTGAAACTATTAGGAGAATGGGAGATTGGAAGGATCTCCCCATTAAACAGAAGAGGAGGAATTTTATATTCTGAGTCACTATCAAGTAGACTTTCACCTGTAAAGCTGGATTCACAAAACATGAACGAATGATCATGTTAATATCCAGCATCACACAGATTATTTTATAACAAGATCAAATACATTTACAGTACCCAAGACCAGTCTTCAGATTACCTTATGCAATCTTTTTCTACTTTTCTATAAAATTTGACAAGCCTCAAACAAATCTGATTTTAAAGCAACCTTTTCAGTTTGAGGAAAAACATCCTATTCACCTGTCTACAACACTTCAGAGTCCATACATTGTGGGGAATCTAAAGGAGGGCACTGCTAGTTATCATTTTGAAACTTAGGGTGACTTGTTGCTTCTAATAGATCTTACTTTTCTCACTCTGAACTGGCCACCTCCTGCTGAGTATGCCCCAGCACACACTTTTCCAAGGTGCTATTCCCTAGGTCACCATTTGGAGCTTCACTTTATGATGCATACACTGATTTTATTGGATGAACACACAATTACTCTGAAGCTTCCTCTAAAGGGTAAGCTCCCTTTGTCTAGAAAACCAGTTCTTGATTTGTGTCAGAAACAAAAATAAACCAATGAAATATAAAGTCAGGGTGGTTATGATTTTTCCTTTAAAAACATAACTCATATTTCTGGGAATCAGGCTCACACATTTCAGTGTAGTGTGTTTTCATCAACATTCTGCATAAAATAATGACACTGCTTGGTTACAGCAATGTGGAAAATCCAACTAGAAGCGAAGTCTTGTACAAAATGAGCTGAATCATGTTTATCTCACCTAGTTCGTTTGTTCTCAGAATTTCTAGCTGGATTAAGCTAATGGACCAAAATGTCAGTCACAAGAGTCAGGGTGCATGAACCTGGAGTCAGGTGGAAACAGGAATGAATTTGATGGACTTGGAAGCTTTAGGTGAGTCCTTCCAGGTACCTGTGCTGTTTGTTGGGCTTCGGTGGGTGGTGTAAGAAGTCTGTCTTCTGCTCATACTGTCAGTATCTTCTTTGTGGAAGTTTTGCTTCGTGCTTTGGCAGCATGGGAAGCTTCTGACACAGTCTTGCAGGAGATGGCCACTAAAAAACATGTATATCCAGGGGTTGCAGCAACTGTTCAAGGAAGCTAGTAATGCAGTGATGGTGGTAGAGGGGTTTTCTGAATCTATATAAAAAGCAATAAAGAAAAATATTTAAATAGTCAAAACAAGAAATTGAGCACTGTATAAACTCATTTTTCTAGCGATTAAAGAGGAACAAGTTACAGGTTAGTAGAGAAAACGAACCTGTGTATCAGGGAAATTGGTGGTACTTAGGAATTGCTTGCTTATAAAACATTTTTGTAAGCAAAATACCTTAAAATTAATGCAAATGTTGTTAAATATTAAAATATTTAAGTAGAATGAGTGTTAATTTCAAGAGGCAAATCTATGACATAGTTTTTTAAAATCTCTGCATACTTTAGACTAACAGGAGCATGTGCTAATAAACAGAATTATAGAATGGCTACAATTTCAAAGAAATTTCAAGAGTCTATAACCATATATGCCAAAGTGTTTTCATCCTAAGAGCTCAGTCAAAAGTATAGCATCGTGGACTGTGTTTAGAAATTAAACACTGAACATATTCTTTTAATATGAAAAGCTGTTTTGTATGGATAATTAGCAATCTGGCTTGCTTTTAAAAGAAAACTATCTCTGTGTTTCAAACAATTAGATTATATTAAGAACAGCTGGACTGAGAAATTTCAACAGAATCTTGAAACATTTTATGCTACCAGTACTGGCAAATTACATAAATATTACAACTTTTCACAATAAAACTATTGCACTGACCATGCACTTTTTCTACAAATAAGAATAATAAGCACTGACTTTCCCTTGGTTAATGTATATAAATGTGGGTTTTCTCACTCTTGTTATATGAAAATGAATTAAAATCAGCCAGTTAGTAGATATTGCTATTAAAAGTGATCATTATCCATGGCTGACTGTATTAAAAATAGAAATCATTTACATTTCTACGCACAAGTGCAGAAGTTTTTAGTAATTATGTCTCATTCTCAATACAATAATAATTAGATTGGATTTTTTATTTGATTGACAATAGAGGCTCCTTAGATCAAACAGGACAGAAAATGATTAATAAAAATAGTGTTTGTGTTGTATCTTTTCTCATTGATAATGTTATAGCCTGCAGGAATATTTATTTGTTTAAATTAAAGTCATTCAAAAGTTCTATTTGTAAATAAAACTCAGAAAATATATCACATACACTCTGGCCCCAGTCCTTAAAAACATAAATAATAGCTTCTCCAGATATCTATATCCTGAGTATTGCCATTACCACAAATATTCCTGTAGTATATTTGATTGAAAATTTTTTTCCTTACAAAAACATCTTACAAAATGGAAAACTGACTATTGCTTCTTTGAGTAAATTTCTATGAAATCACCCTTTCTATTTTGTGAAGGAATTAAAATCAAACAAGTTAGTTCTCTACACTTTACAAGATTTATGTAGCATGTGGTCAAATTATTGCTAAGAGACTAATGAATTTGTCTACCAAGTTTAGTTTATCAATAACATTGGCTTAAAATACAACAGAAAAAGTAATTATTGTGAGAAAAAAATTTATAACAAGAAAGGAAGTATAAGCTAAATGATAATTTCAAGTTCTTCACTTCTTAATCTTTCTCCAGTTTTCTCCAAAAAAAAAAGATTTTCATCTTGATTTTTGCCCTTAGGGAGAATCTACAAAATTTGTGTGTTAATTGTGATACCTTTCATAACGAAAAGCAGTTATGACACTAGAAATACTTCCCTGGATCCAACAAACTTGAAAACAGGATATTCACACAGTAGTTAGTGATTTGGCTAAAGGTCATTATCTCACTTTGTAGTTAGGGGTGATTTTAGAGCACCGTTTCCGGATTTGTGGTATTAGGACCATCACCGCATACTACAGATGTTGATTCTTGGGTCCCCTTGCAGAAACACTGCATTATGAAGTCTGGAGTTGAGACCCCAGAAATTTCCCTTTGTGACAATTTCCCCCCACGATCCCAGGATGTGATTTTCACTAAGCGCTATTGTGAGCACGCTACGAAAAACTGTGGGACTCACAACCCACAGTCCCGCGGTCCCAGCGCCTACCGGTCCAGACGAACTTCTCATCCCAGACCGACCACATCTGCACGATGATGAAAGGCGCCCAGCAGAGGATATAAACCGTCACGATCACAAAAGTCATCTTCACGGTGCGGATTTTGGCGCGGGAGATGGTCTTCACGCTGCTGACGAAGGGCGCGACCGAGAGGCCCTCGTGGAAGGCGCCGCCCGAGCCCGCCGCTCTCTTGCCCTGGCGCGCCGCGCTCTTCCCGCGGACGTTGCGCCAGATGTGGTAGCAGATGAAGCCGTAGCACGTGCCCAGGATGACCACGGGCGCCACGAAGACGCAGCTCGTCATCCAGGTGACGTAGGCGCGGCTGCCCCACGGCTGGATGAAGGTGGCCCAGCAGTCGTGGGCCTTGGTGACGTTGTCCACCTCGATCATGGAGAAGATGAAGTACTGCGGCGTGCTCAGCACGAAGCTCAGCGCCCAGGAGGCGGCGATCATGAGGCGCGAGCGGCGCGCGGGCTGCTGCAGGGTCTTGAGCGGGTGGCACACGGCGATGTAGCGGTCGGCGGTCATGACCACCAGCATGTAGGCCGACGCGAACATGGCGAACACCTGCAGGTGCTTCACCACGCGGCACAGCCCGTCGGGGCCGCGGAAGCGGTAGGTGACGTCCCAGCACAGCTGCGGCAGCACCTGGAAGAAGGCGACGGCCAGGTCGGCCAGGCTGAGGTGCCGGATGAAGAGGTGCATGCGGGACGCCTTGCGCGGCGTGCGGCGCAGGGCCAGCAGCACGCTGCTGTTGCCGAGCACGGCCACCACGAAGGTCACGGCCAGCACGGCCACCTCCACCTTGGCCAGCTCCTCGTTGCGCGCGTCCCGCGGCTGGCAGTCGCCCGCCCCGGGCGCATCTGCGTCGCGGCTGCCGT